CGGCCGCCGGCGACGTCTGCGCCGTCTCGGGCCGAATTGAGCCCTTGGGAGGGGGGTCAAGGCTTAAGCTGGGCACCGTTCTGGGAGCTGCCCCCCCCCTGGGTGCTTGAAACGACCGCTCCTCGGGCCTCGGTGGGTCTCCGAGAGCCCGCCTTTTTGGTTTTCGGCAATTTTGCGTGGGAGCGGCGGTTGCCTGAGCTTCGTCCCGAAATTCTGGATTTCGGACCTATAGTCGGGAACCAGCCCCGGATGCTGGATTACTGGGGTCTGGGTCTGCTTTCGCGGCGACCCGGCTGCCGGGGCCGCCCCCTGGCCACGGCTCTGGGCCCCCCCCAGAGTCGAGAGGAACCTTTTCCTCCTTCGCTGCTCACGCCGAGCCGCTCCACATCCGGCGCCCTCGGGCGCAGGCCGCGCCCCCTGGCGCGCAGCCTCCTGCTTCATGCCTTGAGCCAAGGCAGCAGCAGGTCGCCGTCGCTGCCCTCGCTCTCGCTCACTTCGTCCAGCACCGGCCGCCAACGTGCTCCGGAGAAGCGTTTCCGGAGCACGTTGGACGATTCTCGACTCCTGGGACAGGGCCCCCCGGAGGGGGCGACATCGACTGTGGAGCCGCAGCTTCCGCTCGGCCCCGCCCGCCGCCCGCGCGCGGGCACGCGGCGTGCTGCCGACATGGGGGTGGCACGTGCCCGCCTGAGCGTTGGCCGGCCTGCTCGGCCCTGGCCCCACGGCAGGTCCCCGTCTTCCCAGGGCATCCGGGAATTCGTCGGCATCCGGCATCCGACGGCGGCCCGCGCGCGTTGGCTTGCTCCGGCATCCAGCGCCGTCGGCTTGCTCTGGCATCCGGCGCGGCCGGCTTGCTCCGGCATCCGGCTGGCGGGCCCTGCGGCGCAGCCCCGGCTTGCTCTGGCATCCGGGCCGCCGCATGCGTGAAGGCCGCAGCCCCGGCTTGCACCGGCATCCGGGCCACCGCATGCGCGCAGGCCCGGGCGAGCTGCTCGGGCATCCCGGATGCCGGGATGCCGGGATGCCGGAGCAAGCCCTGCAGGGCTTGCTCCTGTCCAGGCCACGCGCTTGGCGCGGCTTGCTCCGGCATCCGCGCGGCCGGCTTGCGCTCGCATCCGGCTTCGTCGGCTTGCTCCGGCATCCGACGGCGGCCCGTGCGCGTTGGCTTGCTCCGGCATCCGGCGCCGTAGGCTTGCTCCGGCATCCGACGCGGCCGGCTTGCTCCGGCATCCGGCTGGCGGGCCCTGCGGCGCCGCCCCGGCTTGCTCCGGCATCAGGGCCGCCGCATGAAGGCCAGGGGTTGCTCCGGCATCCCGGCCACGCGCTTGGCGCGGCTTGCTCCGGCATCCGCGCGGCCGGCTTGCGCTCGCATCCGGCTTCGTCGGCTTGCTCCGGCATCCGACGGCGGCCCGTGCGCGTTGGCTTGCTCCGGCATCCGGCGCCGTCGGCTTGCTCCGGCATCCGACGCGGCCGGCTTGCTCCGGCATCCGGCTTGCGGGCCCTGCGCATGCGGCGCCGCCCCGGCTTGCTCTGGCATCCTGGCCGCCGCGTGCGCGCAGGCCGCAGCCCCGGCTTGCACCGGCATCCGGGCCACCGCATGCGCGCAGGCCCGGGCGAGCTGCTCGGGCATCCGGGCCACGCGCAGGGTTGGCCCTGGCATGCCTCAGCATCCGGCGGCCAGCCTAGGTTCGCAGCTCTATAGGGTTCGCACGTCGCCCAGAAGACGTCGGTCGCGCAGCAGCCAGGGCGTGCGGCGCGGCGAAAGCGACGCCCAGGGGCGTGCCCTGCTGGCAGGCGGCGCCTTGCCGCCGTTGCGCGGGGACGCGCCGGGTAGGGCGGCCCGCGGGCGTGGCTCCATGCCGGACCTCAGCACCCGTGCTCTGCGTCGCCAGGCTCTCGAGCGCCTGGCGGCGGACGTGTGCTCGGCGTCGGCGGGCAAGGTCGTCGAGGCGCGCCTCAGAACCGTGGCGACGCTGTTGCGGGCCTGGGGCGAGGGGCCGCTGCCGCCCACCGCCGCAGAGATCCGTCATCTCTGCGCCGGCCTGACGGCGGGCGGGTACCGTAGCGCGGAAGCGGATGTCTCTGCTTACCGCCTGCTCGCGGAACGCTCGGGCTACTCGCTGACCGACGACGTCGCGCGCGCTGCCAAGGACGGCGTGCGCTCGTGTCAACGGGGCATGGGCGCCCCCGTGAAAGCACGGGCGCTGCCGTTCGCACAGTTGGGATCGCCCCCGGGCGGGCCAGAGCCGTGGGCGGCGGGGGGGCCCATAGACCCCCGGAACGCGATCGTCGCTGGCGCCTGGTGGATGGCGCGGGAGGTCGAGCTGTCCACCGCCAGGGCGTGCCTCGTCGAGCTCACGCGCGGTGATCGCCCCACAGTCACTTGGCACCTGCCTGCCTCCAAGACGGACGCCGCGGCGCTGGGCGTGGCGCGGACGCGCGGCTGCATGTGTGGCGGAGGCCAACCGCGGCCGCAGTGCCCAGTGCACGCCGTTTGGGACCAGCTCATCTTGTTGCAGAAGAGGTTCCCCGAGCGCTGGCACGACGGCGTCTCAGGGGACGACCTCGCATTGTTCCCCTCGGAAGGCGGGGGCACTGTTAGCAAGGCTACGATGACGGCGACCATCCTCCGCGCGGCAGCCTTCCTGGGCGCGCCGCCGGTTGCGCCGGACGGCTCCGAGCGCGTCGGAGGCCGCAGTTTGAGGCCCACGGGGGCGCAAGGCTTGGCGCGCCTGGGGGTCGACCTCTGGTCTATTCAACTCCTGGGTCGTTGGGGCAGCACCGCGGTTCAGGGCTACGCGCTGGAGGCCTCGCTGGACGCAGCGGCTCGCTGGGCGGCGCGCGCTGGCAGCGACCTCGACCTCGAGTCGGTGCTCGCTCAGGTCGCCGAGCTGCGCGGCGACGTCGGCGCGCTTCGTCGTGGCGGCCCCGTGGGGAGCTCCACCGAAGGTCCCAGCGCTACCGCCCGCATGGCCCCCCCACCCAGTGCAGCGCTTCGTGGCCCCATAGGGAGCTCCACCGACGGCCCCTGTGCTACCGCCCGCATGCGTCCCCCCGAGCCAGTACAATGCTTCGTGGCCCCATAAGGCAATGGCGCAGAGTGGGTGGGCGGTTGGCGCAGCGAGCGCTCGAGCTGAGCCAAAATGGCCACGAGTGCCTTGACTCGCGCTCGCCCAGCCCAAGGCGCCTCACTTGCCCTTTGCATTATATCTAATGCACGCGGCAACTGCGCCCCCCGCCCAACGCTTGTGTGGATGCTGTTGTTTTCCGAATGCCTTCAGCGACGGGCGTGCTACGAGCGGGGCGCTCCGGCCGTGTGACGGAGACTCCTACCCATGTTACGGAACGCTGCATTGGGTGGGGGGGACGCTTGCGGGCGGTAGCGCTGGGGCCTTCGTTGGAGCTCAGGATGGGGTCACGAAGCGCTGTAGTGGGTTTTCGGGACGCATGCGCGCGGTAGCGCTGGGGCCTTCGGTGGAGCTCCCTATGGGGCCACGAAGCGTGTGCACTGGGTTGGGGGTGGGGCGCATGCGGGCGGTAGCACTGGGGCCTTCGGTGGAGCTCCCTATGGGGCCACGAAGCGTGTGAGGGGTGTGTCGAAATGGGGGCTCCCTGTCGGGCCACGAAACTCTGTACTGGGTGGGTGAAAGCCACATGGGGTTTTCGGGATGCATGCGGGCGGTAGCACTGGGGCCTTCGGTGGAGCTCCCGATGGGGCCACGAAGCGTGTGAGGGGTGTGCCCAATTTGGCTTTCGGGACGCATGCGGACGGTCCCACTGGGGGCTTTGTATTGGGTGGGTGAAATGCGGGGAGGAGGGGGAGGAGGGAGGAGGGCTAGGAGGAGAGGAAGGAGTCAGGATGAACGCGGGGACCGTCTTTTCAAAACGAGGACCCAACACCACAGGATGATTGGGAACAAGTAAGCCAGATGAAGGATGAGCACGAGACAACACCAGAGGACCTGCCCATCCCAGGATATATGCATTGAGAAGATTACGAGTGAGACCAATAGAATTGAAGGGGCGTCCTGCAAACGCCGTCGCTGGAACCAGATCTGTCTGCAGAGAAACGAGGAGGAGGAAGAGGAGGAGGAGGATCGGATCGGAAGTCCGCGCAAGGGCTTCACCAGGGAGCCACAGCTGGGGGGTGCAGCAACATTCGAGCAGCTGCAGGCCGCATGCCCGCACAAGGCGGTCAGAGTGGATCATAAGAGCCACAGGTGATGCGCGCTCCAACGATGCAAAGACAAGGAGCCTAATGGAGGCCCGTCGGTACGAAGCGCCGACCTCACAGGGAAGACGAACGAGGAAGCTGATAAGCGACCGGAGCCATCTACGCAAGCCAATCCCCGTCCCCCCTCCAGGACAGGCTGGGCGTGCCCTCTCTCCTGGGTGCGCCTGCCTGGATGAACATGAGGTGCCCGTCGCATGGGAGCGGGCGGCCCGTGCAGCGCGGGCCAGTACGCTCTCTTTCACCCCCATCCTTCGGTCGGGCGTGTCCCCCCACAGGCGCATTTTGGACGACGAATTCAACATAGTCAGAAAATGCCCAGCAATGATCAACACATTCAAGAAAAAATCGTCCCCATATTATTTTTGGGGCTATTTGTCATATTCCTCCTGTAGAGGGACACGCCCGACTTAACCCCATCCCTTGAGCCCACCTCCCTCCCACTATGATTCCTCATTCAGGGGCGCGTGCCACCAGGGACGCGTGTCCTGGCTGTGCGGCGGGGGGGCGCGGACTGCGTGGCACGCAGTCGGCTGTCGGGCGAGAGTGCTGGGCAGCTCGCGCCAGACACGGTCTGGACTGTCGGGCAAGCGTGCTGGGCGGCTCTGCCGCTTGTCTCTCTGCCAGGACCTCGCGCCCGCTCGGTGCGTGCGCGAGGCCAACCTAGAATCGTAGAGCCCTAGAATCCTATCCAGGTCTCTCTCAATATCTCTCTCTCTCTCTCGCTGTCCTGCCTGCTTCAGCCCTCGCCCTTGGCTTTGCGCGGGAGGTACTCGCGAGACGTGCCCTTCGGCTACGAGCGCTTCCCGGAGCTGCTCGTGGACGCGTCCGCGCTGGGGGAGGCCGCCTGGCACTTTTTCTGCCTCCGGCAGGCTGTTTCTCCGCTTCCTCCTCCTCCTCCTCTTTCCAAGGAGGTCGCTGGTAGGCGAAGTGGTTCTGCTCGAACGCTTCCACAATAGCCTGAGGTGCTCAAGGCCACCCAAACGTAGGAGCCCGCCCTGCTCTGGTCATATCGTTGCCGACGTTGGTTGTGACGAGCCTGAGATGACCGTTCGATTCTTCCACCTTCGCCTGACCCGGCACTTCCCTACAGGTGGCTAGCTCGGCGTTTTGAGGTCGTGTAAACACCCGAACTCCACATGAGGTACTGGCGCTCCTCCTCCCCCTCTTTCTCCTCCTCTTTCTCCTCCTCTTTCTCCTCCTCTTTCTCCTCCTCTTTCTCCTCCTCTTTCTCCTCCTCCTCCTCCTCCTCTTTCTCCTCCTCCTCCTCCTCCTCCTCTTGCTCTTGAACCAGGGTGATTCCTGTGCACCGCGGCCGCGGCATTCGGGTCGGTACTGACAAAGCGAGCAAAGCTGCAGGCGATTTCGTTGGGGGGGGGGGGAGCTTGTTGCCTCTGGCAGGCGGACGGGCTGTGAAATGCAACGCCATCTCGCCGGGGAGGGGGAGGAGGATCTTGCCTTTTCAGCATTGGAGAATCGTGAGACTGACGGCCGCTGCTTTCGAATCCCGAAAAGGGACTTTCGCGTGGGACGCCTTACCAAAAATGATTCCTGCGTGCCCAGGGCCACGCCCTTACCATATAGCATGTTAAGCAGCATGGACCCAAAGCAGTCATTCCGTTATTGCACTGTGGATGTACAAGCTGTGTGGTGAACCCATGCGACGAAAGTTGTGTGGTGCAAGCTGTGTGGAGCAAGATATGTGGTGCAGTCTACGTGGTGCAATCTGCGTGGTGCAAGCTATGCAGTGACAGCATTGTGATATAAGCTATGTGGTCAACGCTATGTGGCGCAACATTAATGGTGTAAGCTGTGTGGTGCAGGCTTTGTGGTGCAATAAAAGGCGCAAGCTATGTCGTGTAAGCTATGTGATACAAGCTATGTGGCGCACGCTCGGTTGTGGAATCTATGAAGGCGCAATCTACGTGGTACAAGTTTTGTGGTGTAGGCTATGTCGCGCAAATTTTGTTGTCAAAGCTATGTGGTGCAATACGCGTTGGGCAAGCTATCGGGGCGCCCACGAGGTGCCCAAGGGCGGGGACCAGGCGAAACTTCGGCATACACCCCCCCGCGCGAGGCGCCCACGAGGCGCCCACCGACGGGCACCAGGCGAAACCTCGGCATATCCCCCAATCGCGGGGATCCCGCGAGGCACCTCATAACGGGTGGGCACGCCCGTGGGCGCCTTTTGGGCGTCCCGCGCACGGGGGCAATTGTCGCGGTTTCGGCGCACCAACCGGGCAGCAGCCAAACACACGGAGGAGCCGCCAAGTACAAGCACCGTGTGGGGAACATGCGCGGGGCCCTTCCCAGGGGCTCCCACCGACGGGTTTGCATCCGAGCGGCGGTTAGGGCCAGAAGCCCGAGTGGTCCAACCGCGGCTCTGTCGGGAGAGCTTGGCGGGAGCATCGCGCCCCGGAGAGCCCCGAGGCTCCCCGCAAGCTACTCCCAAGGATGGCTCGCCTGGGAGCGATCGTGGGACATGCTGGAGGTGCGGGTTCGCAAAATCACGTTTCGGGCCTCGGGGAAGTTGGCGGCGCGAACAGGAGGGCATGGGGGAGGGGGGGAAGGATTTTTACAATGAGGCTGCTTCTTAGACGCCTCCCCGCCTCCTCCTACCCCCCTCTGCGCGTAGCCAACGCCAAGAGCTGCGGGTCCGCAAGAGCACTTCTGGGGCCTCGGGAAACGTCACGAGAAAAGCGTCGAACGCTCGTCTCGTGACGTTTCCCGAGGCCCCCGATTGGCGGGATCTCAGGGTCTCCCAATCTTTGGGAATCGTCCAGAGACCCTGGCCGTTTGGGGTACCGGAAACTTGTATGAGCTTGTAAGTTCTATTTGGAGGATGCAGTTTCCAGTGTTGAGAATGGTGGGGGCCTTTACGGCGCTGAGGGCACTCCAGCACGTATCTACGGATTTTTTGGGCCCGGCTCTGTTTCGCGCCATGCCTTGAGCTCCAAGACATGTGGAATTTGACCGCGCGCGCGCGAAACGCGCGATGGTAAAAAAGAGGCAGGTCGTTGACCGATCCTGGGGACCTCAGTCAGTCCTTACTCGCCTCCCGCTCCGTACTGTTCCGTCCCCCCCGGTCCTGCTCGGTACTGTTCCGCGTCTTGTTTTGCGTTGATCTGCGCATCGCCACGTAATTGTGTCAATTGTGCCTGGGCCTGTGTATCCTGATTCCCCTTGCCTTTCCTCCAGTTGCTTCTCGTCGTCATCCAATTCCCCTTTCGCCGCTTGCATTCGGGCGCGCCATCATGTCGTTCAGCTTGGGCGCGCATGCACGCGCGCATGTTTACATTGTGTCTCCGCCATTGCGCATTCTGTCTCTCTCTCTCTCTCACTCTCTCGTTTTTTTTTGTTTTTTGTTCTCTCTCTCTCTCTCTCCCTCTCTCTCTTTCGGGCGCTTTTGCTTTGCACGGCGACCTCTCGACTCGCGCGGTGGATGCAGTCGCGATGGGTCAAAATCCCGCGGTCGCGCGCATCCGCATTTCCGAGAGGGGAAGACAAGTGGAGGAGGTGGAGGAGAAGGATGATGAGGAGGAGGAAGACGCGGCGGTGGAGGTGGAGGTAGGGCGAGGAGGAGGAGGCGGAGGAGGACCATCACAGGCTATGAGGGAAGGCTACCAAAACCTTGGGCTACATCTGGTCATCCACTGACGCTCACTTCGGCCTGCTTCTGCGTTTTTTTTGACGAGCTGGGAGGAGGAGGAGGCGGAGGAGGAGCAGGAGGAGGATGAAGAGGATGAGAAGGAGGAAGAGGAGGAGGAGGAGGAGGAGGAGGAGGAGGCGGGTGAGGAGGAGGAGGAGGAGGAGGAGGAGGAGGAGGCGGGTGAGAAGGAGGAGAGGAGGAGGAGGATGCAGGGGGAAGGAGGAGGAAAGGTGAGGAGGAGGGCGGGTGAGGAGGAGGAGGAGGAGGAGGAGGAGGAGGAGGAGGAGGGGTGAGGAGGAGGAGGAGGAGGAGGAGGAGGAGGAGGAGGAGGAGGAGGAGGTAGGTAGGTGCTTAGTTGGGAACCGCCTGCCTCGCCATTGGAGCAGAGCGCTCAGCATCTAGGCCCCTCCGTGCTATGTGGAGGCTGGGCCGCCTGAAATCGCTCCTGATATGTTTTGCTTTCGACTACAGACCGTCGTGGCATCAGGCGAGCGCTGCAGTGCCCGACCGTGAGCGCAGCCCCGTCTGCGGGGATAGATCCGCAGAAGAGGCGAATGTTCGATGTCGCGGGCGATGCAGCTGCCGCTCATTGCGGCGCATTGCCCCGTCTAGAAGCTTGCAGCTCACTGCAGTACGCTCTCGCTTCCTGTTGAAGTCTGGCCGCAATCGAGCTGCCTCCTGCCGCCATCGTCCGAAGCTTCTGATGCCGCCTCGGATCGTGAGCAATGCCATGGACTGTCTGAGAAACCTTGCCGGTCACTTCGCCTCCGTCAGCACTCCCTGCCTGACCATCTGCCTGAGCTGCGCCTCCACTGCCCTCTCGAGCTCGGTCTTCGGCCCCGTGCCCATCGGCATGGTGCCCTTCTGCATGAACCACGCGTTGTTCAGAGCCTCGCGAAGCATCCCTGGCGTGCACTGGCGTACGGTGTCTACTACCTCCTGGTTCGCGCTGTGCAGCCGAAGCACCGTCTTAAAGTCCATCACGAGCCTGATGCCGAACATGATTTTGTACATCTCGTCCATGTCGTCCTCGCGCTTGTAGGGCTCCTTGATCCTCAATATGCTGAACGTGCCGTCGACCATGCGGAGGCCGTGATACCCATTTGCAACTGCCAGCCACTCCTTGAGGGTGCCCTTGCGAAGGAGGAGGAATAGGAGGAGGAGGAGGAGGCGGAGGAGGAGGAGGAGGAGGAGGAGGAGGAGGATAACGGGGAGGAGGAGGGGGAGGAGCAGGAGGAGAAGGCGGGGGAGGCGGAGGTGGAGGAGGAGGAGGAGGAGGAGGAGGGGGAGGGGGAGCAGGAGGAGGAGGACAACGCGATGAACGACGTCGTGCCGATACGACGCCGTGCCGTTGTGACGCCCTGTCGTTTCGACGGCATGCCTTTCCAGCTTGAACTGTTTCGACGCCGTGCCGTCGCGACGCCGTACTGTTATTGCGATGGCGACGGCGGTGATGATGGTGATGATGCTGATGATGATGCTGATGATGATGACGATGATGATGCTGATGATGACGAGGAGGAGGAGGATGAGGATGAGGATTATATTGACGACGATGACGACGACGACCGACGACCGACGATGGACGGCTGACGGCCGACAATTGAGCATCGACGACCAACGACCAACGACTGACGACCGACGACGACGACGCCGACGAAAACGACGACGGCGAGCATGTATGGCCTTCGGAGGCCCCCCCTGTTTGCATGGGTGGCGCAGCTGGAACAGCTGGTGCGTCTGGACCCCTGGAGGGGACTCCGTCTTTTGGGTGGGCTTGGGCCCCCAGGGCCCCCCCACCTCAACACTGATACCACCACCATCGTCGTCCTCGCTTCCTCATCATCCGTATCATCCGATGCTGTCGGCTCGGCGGATTCTCGCTGGAGCGTTGCCCCATTCAACCTCCTTCGGCTGATGGCCCTCCCCTTCCAGCGTTGCTGGGTTGTTGGGGAAACCTGTGCGCCCAGGTCCGAGCAGCCATTGGTGTTCGACTCGGGTGCGGCAACTAGCAGACAACTGCGGCTTTCGGTCGCCTGGAGGATGCCATTGTGCAAAAATTCGGGGGCCTGCGGCAGATGCAGAGGAAGCGGACCTCGACAAAAGAGCCGCCGGCTCTGGGCCCAAGCCGACAGGCCGAACGCGAAACAGTCTGCGGCGGCCAGTGCCGAAGTACTCGGCCAGAAGCCTTCAGCGGATCGTTGGCCGCTGCAGCGCCAAGATCGCCCAATTGAAAGAGGATCTCGCCAACCACGAGGCGAAGAAGGGAGGGTGGATGACGGCCGAATGACTTCTTCGTTATTTCTTGGCAGCCCCAGCCGTTTCCGTGCCATCCCTGGTCCGCGGCTTCAAGGATGCCCAGGGGCTGGACCAAAAAGTGGTAAGCCTACCACCCTTGCTCGAGATCCAGGGTGCTTTCGTGGAGACCTTGAATCATGAGGTCAGGAAGGTAGCGGGGCCTCGATGCGAGGCAGCGGGGTGCCTCGGCGTCGTATTCCCTCATGTCCAGGACGCAGCTGACCCGGGGCTCAGAAGCAAGGCGCTGCAGGAACATGCGCGCCGAGGCCGCGCTTCCAACGTGTTAGCGAACGTCATGGTGTTTTGCGTTGGAGACTCCAGGATCGTCGTGCCGTCAGGGTTGGTTTCTCTGGCGGGTAGGTATGTAAGCGCGCCCGCGACGGCTTTGGAGAGTGAACAGAGTGAGCAGCGTCGAATGTGCACGAGTGCTCGGCTTGCTGGTGGCGACGGCGCTCGGCTGCTGGAGCTGATCCATGGGCGCGGCTTCTCCATGCCATCTTGCACGACGGGGTCCCCGCCAATAAGGCGGCGGCCGCTCTCGTGTTGGCATTGGTCTGGGCCTCGCTCCGGGGCCCTCGCACGGTCTCCTTCCTGGTAGATATGGCGCGAGCGCGGCTGTCTTCAGCATCCTGGTCTCTTTGTCCACGGCCCGAGGGCTGATGGCCGTCCTCGGTGACGTTGGCGATTCAAATTGCAGGCCGCGCTGAGCGCTGCGGCCGCGCGGTGGTGCAAACACGTCCTGTTTGCGTGTTACCAGGAGTTCTTGGAGGCAGCCCGAGATTGAGGTGGAGAGGACTTTACCGTGCCTGCCATGCGGTCGACGCGTCACTGACCACGAGGATCGCACGTTTCGCTGACAGGCTCTGTACATGGCGCACGTAATGTCCGACGATTGCCGCCAGCTGTTCAATGGCAGTCTGCAGCCCTTAACTCGCGTGTTTGGCAGCAGCTGCGACCCCGACGCCGAACGCCCCTGGTTTGTTTGCCGCGTCGATGCTTTCATCGTGAAGATCTTGTTTTTGGTGAACGGGGGACAAGTGGTCACGCGCATGTTCACCTTCAGGCATGGCATTGGCCGCGCGCTGACAGTGCGCTTGCGGGGCTCGCCTGCGAACTGCTTCAAAACGGGGAACGTGACAGCGCGGGAGAGAATTCTGAAGCGCTTGTACTACGTGCTTGTTTAGTTTTTTTTGTGTTTCTTCTCCCAAATGTATACGTGTGTGTATATATATAGAAGCAAACACCCCAGATGCCAGCCAACACTAGCGACGAACATGCTTGTCTTTGCCTTTTTTTTTCAGGGGTCGCGGCGCTCGTGTCTGACAGGGCGCGGGGCAGTTTGCCGCGCGGGCGGATTACCAGCGGTGGCGTCGGAACGTCAGCCCCATCCCCCGCAGAGGGGGTGCCCTTGTTGTGTAGGCTCGCGGGCGGCGCCACTTCGCAGCTCGTCGCAGACCGCCGCCTGCGCATGTTGCAGCGCATGCATTTTAATGGCGGCCGCAACATGGTCGGAGCGGTGGCCGTAGTCCTTGGCCTAGAAGTGGAGACCGCGTTGCGCTTCCACAGGCGCAGTCAGGCGCCCCTCGCCCTCTTGCCGTTTGTGCAAGCGCAGGTGCCCAGTGACTCACACGCATGCGATACGGACGTTTCTCAACGCCAGCGCGCGCGACCTTGGCGCCGGTTCTGGACTTCCGTTGCGGGCGAAATCTTTTGCGGGCAAGTCCTTGGGTCAGGTGGCCGCGCGCTTGCAAAGCGAGCCTTTGCAAGCATGTTTCGAGTGCTTCTTCGCCCGCATGGAGCGGGCCTCCCTCCCTGCGGAGCGGAAGTTGCACCCGGTGGTAAGTGGGGCGCGAGTGTGTTCGTCATGGTGGGCAGCGCCTCCTCCAATACTATGTGCCAGACGATCGCGCGAGAGCGGGGGCTCGCTGAGATGGAGGCGGCTCTGCGGACGCAGCGGGCAGCCATATTAATTGGGCGGTCGGGCCGGCGTCGAGCAGCTGTCGCGCGGGGCGCGCTTTGGCGCGAACCCGCCGCGGTCGCCTGCACTCGCGGCCCCCGCCGTTGCGACGGCAGCCGCCGCCGCCGCCGTTGCGACGGCCGCCGCCGCCGTTCAGATTGCTTTTGCAGCCGCTGCGACGTCGGTGCATGGGGCCCTTGCGCGCGGCCCCTTCGCGGAAGGAGACCGCGGCCGCCGCCGTTCGGCGAGTCTGGGAAGCTTTCGCCAGGCACAGAGCTGCCCCGATGACGCGAGCCCAGCGGAGGTCGCGGCTGGCTGACAACGAGGACCTTTTTCGGCAACGCGCGCGCACTGTTCGGCAGGGTTCTCGGCCTTGCGGGCGCCCTGCGCGGAGGGCGGCTGCGCGCCGTCGGGGGGCGCGTGGCTTCGGCGCGATCACGCCGCCGCGGCTGCTAAGGAGGTGCAGCGGCTCCGCGAGGAGGAAAGGCGCGGGCCTCGAGCTCCTCCACCAGGGGCGGAACAAGGCGATTCTCGGCTCCGCGGGCACGGACGGGCTGGCGGAGGCAAGTGAGGACGAAAGTCGTTTTCGGAGTCGGAAGACACCTTGGACGGTTCCGCGGTGGAAGACGTGGAAATCCTGGAGCGGCCCTGAATTCCCGTGGGGTCGCCCCAGGCAGCGGCAGCAGCACGGTGGGCCACCTGCCTTCCGCGGCCGATGGTCGGGTCGGACAGTCTGGTTCATCATGGAATCGGGTTTGCGGGATCTTCTGCGCCACGCCGGCTTCGCTTCCGCCGCCGAACGCCATCCGTCGTGCATGTTCGTCTCCAGTGCCAGGGGTCGCCGGGGGGAACAACCGCGCGAGGCTGATTCGCTAACCCCTTCTCGCCCGACCCGAGAATGGCGAGGCCGAGGCGGCTGCCAGGCCAAACCGATGGCCGAGGGCCAAGAAGATCTTTCCCCCCGTCCTTCCTCCTCGCCCTCCTCCTCTTCCTCCTCCTTTTCCTCTCCCTCCTCCCCACGCCCCATCCTCCTCCTCCGCCCGCCTTACTCCCCCCATCATCCATATTTCGCTTCCCTCGTCATCCTCCTCCTTTGGCTCTTCTCTCGTGTTATTTAGTTTCTCCCTTTGCTTCTGATTGTCTCGTCGTCTTACTGTTCGCCGTCAGCAATTCTTTTTGTCGCCATGCGGAGAGGGGCACGGTTCGCGGCGAACCAGACGCGCGCCCGCGGGGTATTTCGCCGAGCTGGCGGCAAAGCGGTCGCGGCCAGCGGGCCCCGAATGGGTCGGCACGGCCTCGCGAGGCTGGTTGGCCCAAATTGTCGGCTTGGCGATCGCGCCTGCTGCTGCGACGGATATTTCGGCCAGGTTCCACGGTGGGGGGCGCAGCGATTTCACGAGGCCGCCGTGGCTTCCCTGCTTTGCCAGCACAACCTGCTTTAAGTCCTACAGATGGTTGGCCCGAACCGCTGCCAGCGCTCCCGCGTGGGCGTCCAGCGGTCGCGCGCCCATGCTCGGCCTCATCACCGTGGATCTTAATTGTCATGGTTGGAGTTGTGATTCGCGCAGTCCTGATGTGCATTCCGCTTGCCCCCCCGCGTCGCGTGGTGCTAAGCTGGGAAGCGTCTGCCAAATGGCACCCGCGACCTCAGATCTGTCGGCTGCCTGCAGCAAGGTGGGCCTCCTGCAAGTCACGCCGGGCCGAGGGAGCAACTCAACTGCCAGGGCCGATGCTCGACCAGATGTTGAGGGCGAATCTCCGACGCAGACAGTCGACAGGGATGAGGGACGCGCACGTTCATGGACTGAAGAGAAACAGCCTGGCCTGGCCGACCTGCGCAGCGCGGCCAAGCATTTGTTGCCGGGAGGGCGCTGTGCGAGCTGGCCCCTGCAGCGCGGCGCCGCTCTGCGTCGGTCGTTTGTTTTACAGCTTCTCTTAGCTTCCTATTGATGCTGACTCATGGTGCAGTTCCTGCTGCCGCTGCTATTGATGATGCCGCTGCTGCTGTTGCTGCTGTTGCTGCTGATGTTGCTGATGTTTGCTGGTAGCTCTGCCGCTGACGTTGGCTGTTGCTGTTGTTGCGGCCGTTGCTTCTGGAGTCCGGGGGCCGGTTGTTCCCGGACTCTGAGGGAGCCTATCCTGGGATTCCCGAATTCTGGGCCCGCCCAGCCAAGAGCAATCTACTCAATGATCTCCATGGAAAGTTGGTTCTGGATCTGACCCAGAGGGTTGGAGTGGATTCTAAACATGTTCCCCAATAGGAATTACTGGTAAGAGCGACTCTCCTAGGGGTGATTCGGGAAGTCGGAGTTCGGACTTCATTCAATCCCTGGCGCCCCCGAGTTCTGGGGGCGTTTCTCCCCGGATTCCCGACTTGTGGACCGCCCCAGCCCAAGCTGGTTCAACTATTCATTTCCGTTCGGGGATGGCCCAGAATCTGCTCGGGAGCGAGCCAGGCACCCTGGAATAGATTTTGAACAAGGGGCGCACGGCCAAACCAGATGGTTACGCGCGAACGCAACCAATCACACCGCATATGTTTTCGCGCGGCCTCGCCCACGGGGGCTGTGAAATTGCACGGAGCAGGCGCGTAGCCACATGCGGTTCAGAACGTGTCACCGCGTATCACAGCCGTAATTGTATCTGTAGTTCCCTGAACAAAGTCAGCACAGTAAAATTCATACCCGAGTCGGTCGTGACCAGACCGAGACCATATCGCAACCAAATCGCAGCCGAAGCACACGGGGCTCTGGATGGTGTGAGAGATGCGCTTTCAGTTTTCTCTCTCTCTCTCTCTGTCTCTCATTCTTTCTCTCTCTCTCTCTCGTCTCTCCTTCCGAGGGGAGAGAGGGGGAGAGGGAGAGAGAAAAAAGGAGAAGAGAAAGAGAGAGGGAGAGAGAGAGAGAGAGAGACCTAGAGAGGGATGAGACAGAGAGAGGGACACATGGAGAGAGAGAGGGAGAGGCAGAGGCAGACAGATAATGAGAGAGAGAGGGAGGGAGACAGAGCGAGAGAGAGGGGGGGAGATAGCGAGAGAGAGAGAGAGAGAGAAAGAGAAAGAGAGAGAGATATACAGATAAACAGAGGGACCGTGCATCACATTGCCCTTCGAGGACGTTGGTAGGGGATGGGGCGGGAGAGGAGGGCGACAAGGAGGACGACGAATACGAGGTCAAGGAAGACGAGTGGGAGGAGGCAAGTGCCAGCCGCAGGAGCAAGACAAAGACGATGACGAAGAGGCACAGGACAAAGATCTGAGGATGAAAGAACGGGGTCGAGGGGGAGAATGAGGGTGAGGACATACGAGGAAGCAGGGCGGACACAACGGGGGTCAGCAGGAGGTCAACGAGCATGATCAGGAGGATGCGAGGAGCGAAGCGCATGACGGGACGGTGGGGAAACAATCAATATTAGTCGGGAGGGGGGGGCAGGAGGAACCAAGGAACAGGGGGGTTGGGGTGGGGGGAGGCACGAAAGAGGGAGTCATGGAAGAGATAGAATGGAGGGGGAGCGGACAAATCAATCATTCTTTCAAGTCGGTTGCGGGTTTATCCCTTCTCTTGCCTACACCCTGGGGAAGGGGGGGGGGCAATAGCTTCGGAAATCATGTTGAGTTTGCTCAAAGCTGGTCCAAAACGGCTTTCAGCCTGTCGCCAACATGCGCCAATACCGTCCCGAGATGGCCCTAGGTGGCAGCATCGCCCTCATATACTACAGAGATTCCACCACAGGCGCGGTCGATTGTTTCCGTGGCGTTCGCCGTGTCGCCCCATCACTTCCTGTGGCCCTGTCAGGTTTCACGATCGCCAGAGGACAGCGCAACGAAGGGCCTCTAGAAGGCCTCAGAGACCCGAAGAGAGCTCGAATATGGTTCCATTGTATTTATTTTTTGCCTGACCCTGACGGGGGGGCCCTTCCGTGGACCCCTGTATATTCGACTTTCGTGATGGCATTAACAGAGTTCCAAGGGCACCCAAGGACTTCACGATGGCCGCGCATGTCTGCAAGAAGATCCCAAGGTGATTCCAGTAGGCCTATCCTCTCCTCCCCCAAGCACTCTTCAAAGTCTCCTTCCACTCACCGTCCTTCATTCCCTCCGGCTGACGCCTCCCGGCAAAGCTTGCCGAATCTTCGCCGCCCCATTTTTCCAGTCGAAGCCTGTGTACAAAACCTCCTCCAAGACTGCCCCGAATTCTCCTTCAACACACATTCATCCAAGCCGAGCTCCTGGTGCCCGGGTGGTGACGAGACCGATGCTCTCCTTTTTTCGCCGGGCTGTGGGGGTGTGACTCACCCGCAGCGTCAGCAAGCGCGCGCGCGAGCGAGCCGCGAGCGCTCAAACAATCGAAGGTGTCCCGACGAATAGTTTCTCGCTCAGGTCAGTCAGCAACAGCTCGCAGCCGCGCCCCTCGAAGGCTCTTCGAGGGCGGCGACGACCGAAGGGAGAGCGAGCCCGACCAGGAGGGAGGCGCAGGAAGGAGGACAGCGTGGACCGATGCTCCTCCTCACCCCCCCCTCTGACCGTCCTCGTCGCCGCCACGGCTCCTCCTGCCAGGGCCCCGCGGCCGAGCTCGGCCCCACGGCGCTGGCCGACCACGCCGGCCCTTTGGTGGGGCTGCTCCCTCCGGAGGACGGCGTGCGCCTGCTGCCGAGGGGTCCAACGTGTTGGCAAGCATCAGGGTGGAGGTTCTTCGCCGCGTTCGGCCCCCAGGGGGCGCGGGCGGCCCCAGGACCGTCAACAAAATGGCTCGGGACGCGGGTCGATGCCTTCGAGGACCCCCGTACTGAACAGGTCAAGGCATTGGATCTCTGGGCTCTGAGGGCGGCAGCTCGATCCTGGGGCCCCGGGTCGGCCCTGGATCAGAGGGGGACAGGAGAGGCAACGGCAGGGAGGGATAGGCACAGGGGGGACGCATCGACCCCCAATCGGCCATTTGATCGCCGACAGGGGCCCGATAGCCACAACCTGCCCAGGAGGGTGCGGGTTCACCGTCTGGAAGCCTATCGCCAATCTTTCGGCGATGCATCGCCGACTCCAGGTCGACGTGTTCCCCCCGTATGCCAGTCCCCTCTCCCTCATGGGGATGGAAGACCGAAACAAATCGGCACGGCTGTGCGACGATGACCACTTGTCCCAACACCGAAGATCAAGCAAGAACAGGTGCCGAAAAGGTTTAGCTATACCCACCGGTCGTTGAAAGCATGTATTTTTGGATTCCCAGATCCCAATCTACTATAAGCGCCTTCCTATTTCAATGATCTATATTTTTGGTTGTTTTTTGGGGCGGGCGCAAACCTAATCTACTTCTAGGGTTTGTTTGTCACTTCCCTGGGTGACGCTGGTCGCTCGGCCCCTCGGTTGGCCCAATTCCTTGGTTTTGTTTGTTTTTGTTTGGTTTCGCTGGCCCGTCGGCTGCACTGGTCGCCCCAGGCTCGCCCGCCGCCTTTCGGTCGCTCGGCCCCTCGGCTGGCCCAATTCTGTGGATTTGTTTGTTTTTGTTTGTTTTCGCTTGCCCGTCGGCTGCACTGGTCGCTCCAGGCTCGCCCGCCGCCCCGCGGTCGCTCGGCCCCTCGGCTGGCCCAATTCCTTGGTTTTGTTTGTTTTTGTTTGTTTTCGCTTGCCCGTCGGCTGCACTGGTCGCCCCAGGCACACCCGCCGCCTTTCGGTCGCTCGGCCCCTCGGCTGGCCCAATTCTGTGGATTTGTTTGTTTTTGTGTGTTTTCGCTTGTCCGTCGGCTGCACTGGTCGCCCCAGGCACACCCGCCGCCTTTCGGTCGCTCGGCCCCTCGGCTGGCCCAATTCTGTGGATTTGTTTGTTTTTGTGTGTTTTCGCTTGTCCGTCGGCGGCACTGCTCGCCCCAGGCTCGCCCGCCGCCCCGCGGTCGCTCGGCCCCTCGGCTGGCGCAATTCTTTGGTTTTGTTTGTTGTTGTTTGTTTTCGCTTGTCCGTCGGCTGCACTGGTCGCCCCAGGCTCGCCCGCCGCCCCGCGGTCGCTCGGCCCCTCGGCTGGCCCAATTCCTTGGTTTTGTTTGTTTTTGTTTGTTTTCGTTTGTCCGTCGGCTGCACTGCTCGCCCCAGGCTCGCCCGCCGCCCCGCGGTCGCTCGGCCCCTCGGCTGGCCCAATTCTGTGGTTTTGTTTGTTTTTGTTTGGTTTCGTCTGTCCGTCGGCTGCACTGGTCGCCCCAGGCTCGCCCGCCGCCCCGCGGTCGCTCGGCCCCTCGGCTGGCCCATTTCCTTGGTTTTGTTTGTTTTTGTTTGTTTTCGCTTGCCCGTCGGCTGCACTGGTCGCCCTGGGCACACCCGCCGCCTTTCGGTCGCTCGGCCCCTCGGCTGGCCCAATTCTGTGGATTTGTTTGTTTTTGTTTGTTTTCGCTTGTCCGTCGGCTGCACTGGTCGCCCCAGGCTCGCCCGCCGCCCCGCGGTCGCTCGGCCCCTCGGCTGGCCCAATTTGTTTGTTTTCGCTTGCCCGTCGGCTGCACTGGTCGCCCTGGGCACACCCGCCGCCTTTGGTCGCTCGGCCCCTCGGCTGGCCCAATCTGTGGATTTGTTTGTTTTTGTTTGTTTTCGCTTGCCCGTCGGCTGCACTGGTCGCCCCAGGCTCGCCCGCCGCCCCGCGGTCGCTCGGCCCCTCGGTTGGCCCAATTCCTTGGTTTTGTTTGTTGTTGTTTGGTTTCGCTGGCCCGTCGGCTGCACTGGTCGCCCTGGGCACACCCGCCGCCTTTCGGTCGCTCGGCCCCTCGGCTGGCCCAATTCTGTGGTTTTGTTTGTTTTTGTTTGTTTTCGTTTGTCCGTCGGCTGCACTAGTCGCCCCAGGCTCGCCCGCCGCCCCGCGGTCGCTCGGCCCCTCGGCTGGCCCAATTCCTTGGTTTTGTTTGTTTTTGTTTGTTTTCGCGGGCCCGCCGGCTGCACTGGTCGCCCTGGGCACACCCGCCGCCTTTTGGTCGCTCGGCCCCTCGGCTGGCCCAATTCTGTGGATTTGTTTGTTTGTGTTTGTTTTCGCTTGTCCGTCGGCTGCACTGGTCGCCCCAGGCTCGCCCGCCGCCCCGCGGTCGCTCGGCCCCTCGGCTGGCCCAATTCCTTGGTTTTGTTTGTTGTTGTTTGGTTTCGCTGGCCCGCACTGGTCGCCCTGGGCACACCCGCCGCCTTTCGGTCGTTCGGCCCCTCGGCTGGCCCCTTGGTTTTGTTTGTTTTTGTTTGTTTTCGCTTGTCAGTCGGGCGAGCCTGGGGCGACCAGTACAGCCCTCGGACAAGCGAAAACAAACAAAAACAAACAAAACCAAGGAATTGGGCCAGCCGATGGGCCGAGCGACTGCGGGGCGGCGGGCGAGCTTGGGGCGACCAGTGCAGCCGACGGACAAGCGACAACAAACAAAAACAAACAAATCCACAGAATTGGTCAAGCCGAGGGGCCGAGCGACTGACAGGCGGCGGATGTGCCGAGGGCGACCAGTGCAGCCGACGGGCCAGCGAAACCAAACAAAAACAAACAAAACCAAGGAATGGGGCCAGCCGAGGGGCCGAGCGACCGAAAGGCTGCCAGTGCGATCGACGGACAAGCGAAAACAAGCCAGAACCGCCGAAACCAGCCAGGGAAGGGACCATCCGAGGGGCCGAGCGACCTAGCGCTATTGCGCGCCGCTAAGACAGTGCCTGGAAATTTGTAATATGCTTCTTGCAATTGCTGTTGCCCCGAACGCAATCTACTTCTTCCGCCTTCGTACTTCATGTTTCTACCTATTTCTTCCGACCGGTGGGTATGGGTGTGTTTTAGCGCGCATGTCTTGTTATGAAATGCTGTTCCCCCTTGGCATCCCTCCACTCCTGGTTTAGGCGTGCTGCTGGAGGAGGTCGCATGCGCTGTTGTTCCTTTATCTCTATCTCTCTCTCCGTCTGTGTCTCTCTCTCTCTCTCCCTCTTTTTGGTTTCCCTCTCTCTCTCTGTCTCTCTTTCTCTCCAGTGCGCCGGCGGTTGCTTCCGCTCTCGTCCATGTAGCGGCCTGGATTCCAGCCTACCCCCCCTTCTTTCTTCCGCCCCTCTCCCCGCCCCCCACTCCCCGTGGCGCGCCATGCGCTGCGCTGCTGGCCCCGCCTCCGCAGCCCGCCTCTGGCCTGGACCCGGCCGCCCACCCGCTCGCCCGACCACTGGCGACAGCCCTGGTGCCGCTCTGCAGCCCCCCCCCTCTGGCTGTTCCCCGGCGTCCCGGCCTGGCTGCTCCACGGACCCCGTGCGCCTGCCTGGTGCATCTGCCCCCCGGTGCGCTCCCTGGTCGTGGCCGCGCGCCTCCGATCCTGGGCAGCGCGCGCACGCCGCGGGCGCTGCACGGGCATGCTCGTGCCCCTCGACAGGCGCGCCGACCTGCTGGGTTCCATTCGGGACGATTCGGCGCTCCTCCTTCGGCGGCCCGTGCGAACCTCGGCCGCAGCATGCCGGCGGAGACCTTCCTGGTCTGAGTTTGCCCCCCCCGCCCGCGGCCGCCCTGCCTCGCTTTCCCCTGCCACGTGCAGTGCGCAGTTCGCCGTCCAGTGCCCCAGGGCCGCTCGACCGACCGGCGGGCTCGGCGGGTCTGCGACACAGCAGCATTTCAGCATGCCCCGTCGTTGGGCCGCCCGCCACACCCCGATCCCGACCCCGCGCGCGCGCGCCAAACTTTCCTTCAAGCGCGCAGGTTCAGCCCGCGGCGATCCGCAACTCAACGTTCCGACCTGCCCGCGGCGATCCCGGACAGGTCGGAACTGCCGAGTTTTCCAACATCCGTTCAGCAGCGGCATTTTGCGTGCCGCCCAGCGGCTGACGGCTTACCTCTTCAGTGGTTACGGCACCCTCTGGCAGCCTGGACTGACCGCGCACTCTATGATGCACTGGCCCCTGGTGCCTGACCCCAGCTTTCCTCCTCCTTAGCGGTCGCCCTCTTCTTTCTTTTGCTGTCTGTGTCTGCCTGAGTTCCCGTCGCGGCCCTCCGGCTACCAGAACGCGGTATGCGTTCGCCCTCGCCGCTGACCAACAAACAATTTCAACATCGGCGGGTTGGCGGAAAATGCGCGCAGCAGTCTACCAGCAAACATATGCCGTCATTTTTTCAGCACGTCGAACATGTAAAGCGATGGATCCTGTTTTGTGGATGGCGTAGTGGCAACCGATTTCGGCGCGAGGATCGATGACCGAAGGAGGGCTGCGACAAAGCAATATCGCCATTCGCTGCGCCGCCAGAGAACCCTAGGTAGTAGTGTAGGCGCCGCATCTTTACGCCACGTAAATGGATACTTAGGACATCCATCAAAATACAGTGTTTGCCAGACGAGTCAGGCCCCAGTGTTTCTGAATGTGTGTGCGGGGGTTCATGCATGGGTGCGGATACTCGATCAGGGATTGGCTGAACAACACGCAATACTTTGCCACATATACACGCAGCAACAACAGCGCAGACGTAGAAGCACAGCCATCGGCGGAGGCGATGAGGAGGCAGCAGAGCACGGATAAGGAATATTCGAAAGTATGGATGCGTATTAGAGGCCGAGTGGAAGGCGTACTTGTTGGTGATAGCGAAGCTGCACGTTGCATGTTCACATTGTTCGCTTTTCATTGTGTAGTGGATCCGGATGGTGGTAAGGACGGTTTGCTGAATGTGGGCGAAGCTTGCGAGGCGTTCCATGGCTCTTTGCGCACAGTGCCCCTGCGTGTTTTGTATATTATTCTTTTGATCAGTCTTCTGTTTGTGGGCATGAACCACGCGTGCACTTCAGGTGGTATCCTCTATTTGGTCCTCTGGTTTTACAGAGGATAAGGTGCTATCTGATCCGTTTGCATCTGGGCACGCAAGGAGTATGCTGCGTGGACAAGATGTAACAGCTTCGAGCTGATCTCCCCGTTCCTCTTCGTAGCCGCCACAACTGCGGGCGAGGATTGTGCACGTGCTTGTATCGACAAGTGCCCTCCCTTCATTCTTGACCCTCCAGGTCGCGGTTACTATCAATCCCCTTCTCTGCGTCTTCGTGTGTATGCTCTCAGTTACCTTTTGTCAGCGCAGAGCCCCCCGCCCACATGTGGCCATGATTTGAGATGCATCGCCCCACCGTTCTCAGGTTGATCCCGATGCTTGTAACCTCCTGATGTTTCATGCTTGGTTTGCTTTGCTCCCCTCACCTGTCTGGCAGGCTCCAAGGCTGGCGCTCTCCTGCGTGCCGACCGCTCCAGGCAGCCGCTCATGGGCTGCCGGTTCTCGGGGAACCTGCGCACTTGCAAAGATATAGTAATCATGCTATAGCATGTGCCTCAGATATGTTTCGCCGAGTCAGCGCCTCAGCCTCGTCCAGCCGAAGCGGGTATGAAACGATTGCATATGCTCAGGTTCCAGAGGGGGGGGGGAGAGAATGTCTCAGAAACGGATTCGGGCGCTGCTCTCTATCGCGTCCCGTCATTCATACTTTCTGTCGCGACCCATCTTCGTCCCCTTGAGATAAGAATCTCAAACGTTCAGTCTGGTCGCTGTCCTATCGGTTTCTCCGTCGTCCGTGCCTTTTCCATTGTTGCGCTTGGGCCCGCTTCCGAATCCCATACACAGCATCGGCCATTGTCATTCCTCGTCGTCGGGCGGTAACCTCCCCGGACCGGGGAGGGCAATATGTTGGTTCCAAGCTCTTATTAGAAGTCAGAAGTCAGCTGTATGAGTCACAGCCGATACAATGTGGCGCACACTCACGCAGCTTCAGGAATCGCAGCTGATGGCGCCTAGCGCCATTGCCTTTCGCGACCAGCAATTTGCTAATAGGAACCGTTGTTTGTTTGAGTGGCTTGGTGCTCCCCTCGCGTCTAACAAGCGTGCACTCAGAGCTCCGCCTTTGTTGCACATGCTGTCGCATGGCTCGTCGATCGCTACATGTTTGTTAACGTGTGTGTGTGTGTGTATATGTGTGGGGTTATCGCAAGGTGGCTAGTGTTTGCAACTGTCCGTGGGTGCCTCCTTCGGATATGCTCAAGAACGCTTGCGTAGCGTGTCGCGCCGCAGGTTTTGGCCCCCCACGCTTTGGCACCGCACGTTGACCACATCACAGTCCCCAAGCATTAACGTTCTTAGCTTTTCCCAGCCTCCTGTACCGCTTGCAAGGGGTAGCGTGTCACAGGGGCCTCTGCAGCGACACGCTAAGCAATACATCCTCACTGTAGCTCTGCTACGTGCACTTTCTGTGGGCGATTCCAGTTATGGCGTCTGAGTGGCTATGTACTGTGCGTGTTCCCCACCCATCACTTATTGCATTGCTGCCTGCATGTCCTTGCACGTGTCTTAACGTTTTTTGGTTGTATGGTTTTGATGTTTTCCGACGTGTTTGCGGACACATGCATGCACTGTGGTTGCGTCAAACATATGGTTGCGTCGCGCACATGTTGCCATGCGTGTCTTTCGTGTGGGTCGTGCTTGTTCTGAGCGTCTCAGCTTTATAGAGCTTGCTTCGCACTCGCATGCAGCATCCAGAGGCACGCCCTCGTCACCTCGTATACGCAGTGGGACCACGCAGATCGCTTGCTGTCAACACGCCGTGCCGTCAGCTGGCCGGATCAGAAGAGAGCCAGCTGGGCAAAGCATTCTCTGGATCCAGTCTCTGGATCCAGTGCCGTTCAGGTATGTGCGCAAGGTCTCTTGCTCACAACGCAGGGCACGAATCACGGCACCTGGGTTTCGAGACTTCGCCAGCAGGTCCGACCCATCAGATATGGGGCGACGCTCGCGCGGCAATGCTCCGACGGAAGTCCGACGGAAGTCCGACCAGAATCCGGCGTACATCCGACGGGATCCGACGTGCACCACGTGCACCCGACGTGGGATCCGATGCACATTGGGTCTAGAGTTGGCGCGCGAGGCCTCCAGGATTTTCCTCAGAAGTGTTTTTACCAGCGATGATCGTACTTGGACCCACCGTTCTTGCCCTCGCCCCCCCCCGCGCAATAACTCCCCGCCGTCCCCCGCCGACACCCTGGCCGCCGCCCTGCCGACCCCCAGAGGTCACTGCAGAATCATCGTGCTGAGCCTGGGGCGGGGCGCGGGGAAGATGGGGCAGCTCCCTCCACTTCGCTCCCTGAGCTCAGAGGAGGGGGAGGTGCCGATACTGCTACCCTGGCTACGGTTTGGCCCTCTTGGGCCTCGTGGAGAGGCCCTCGTCGCCACGAAATTCTGGTCAGAACGCACCCGGGAGAACTCTCGGGAGTAGCGGTATCAGTACCTTTTGGTTCCCCCCTCGGGTCATGAAAAAGTCGCGGCCGATGTTTTTGTCGCTATTTTCGTCTTCCGGGGGCCCTCGCCGGGCCCCGGTTGTGATGATATCATGACGTCGGGGGCCTGGGCCCAGTTCAGTCTTGAGCAGACGCCAGTTGTTTGGTATCCCGGAGGTGGCCGATGTTTCCCTTGGCGCGCGGCCTGAGGCTTTTCTCTGTGTTGGTCACCATGCCTAGTTTTGGGTACGCACAATGATATTGGCCTGTCGGATCGCCCCATCAAGCTATACGTATTGATATGTTCGCTAGAGCCTGTTACTGTGATTTAAGCGAATCAACCCGTGTGTGGTCCTGCGTGCGTGCGTGGTGTACGGTGACTTCTCTGGGTAAGTAGTGTGGCGAGTGGTGTGCGTATTTAGGCTTGTGGTGGTGTGTGTGTGTGGCTGGAACCGCATTGACGCTAAATGGGCCACCCTGGACGTCGCTCACATCCCCGATTGGCTCTTCCCTTTTCAGCGGCTCCTCCCGGGAGACACCCGACCGCTTAACCCGCCCCCCCAACACTCGCCCAGCCCACACGGTTGCTGCCCATTCTGTGGGCGCGGGGAGGCTAGCAGCGAACACCTTTGGACCTGGTGTGTTGCGGTCGCCCTCACCTGGCAACTAGTGCGGCCAGACAATTCCCCGGCCACTGTGGCCAGTGCCATCCTCGAACTTGGCGCCCACTCCCGCATGCTTGCTGCCATCCTTCATCAGATATCTCCTACAGGTACGCCATTGCCCTTTCCCACCAGCCCATCGATCCCGACACTGCGGCCAACCTCATTCATGCAGGGACCGTAACCGAGCGGACCGGGGACTTCCCAGACGACTACCCTCCCGAAGGCACCCTCCGCGCCCCCAACTGCACCTCCATAGATGCGTGGGCTCGCACCGACGCCCCCTGCACTGGCTGTTGGCCCTACCCCACAGCCTACCCCTTGGTGGGATCAGCGCAGCCACACCAGACCCGCAGAGCCCAGCGGGCAGGAGGCGAGATACGCAGGTTCTCCATCTCCACCACCTGCGTTCCCCCCGAGGCGGCTCTACTCCATCTGCGCTGCAAGTCTGCAACTGGAGGCTGGCTCCTCGCCAGCAGAGGCTGGACTCCCTGCCCAAGAGTCACCAGTGACAGCCCCAATGCCAGGTGGGACTGCCAATTCTGCGGCACCTGCAGGCAGCACTGCCAGACCCTACGCGCTCTCGCACACATTGAGGCCCGTGCCGAGATTAGCGTCTCTCGATCACCCTTTCCCGATCAGGACCAGGCCCAATGACCCATGGAGGTCGCTTTTGACGGTGGGGCACGCTCCATCAGTGGCCGCCCCACTGTCGCGGTCGCCGGAGCCACGCTCTGGCAGCACGGCGACGATGGAACACCGCCCACACGCATCGCATCTTGCATAGTTGCCCTTCTGGACTGCAAACGCCCAAGTCGCCGAGGCGGCGGGATGTCGGGCCGGATTGAACATGCTAGCGCACACCGGTCCTTCGGTCAGGTCCGCTCGAATCGTCGGAGACAACCTGGCCGCCATTAGGTACGGTGCTGGAACTGGCAGGTACAGGCGACTCCCGCTGGCGATGCAGATGGACATGGGTCTCCGTCCCCTCGCCGAACGAGATTGGACCCTGTCTTGGTAAGCTGTCCGCCGGCGCAGACTAGCCACCCTAGGAGTGTTCTGGGCCGACGCCCTACGCTCAGCCGGCAGCAGCACGGTCCAGACATGGACTATCTGGCACAACCGGCCCCGCTCTGAAACACGCCCCCCTCCTCTCCTTCCCCTCCTCCCTTCCGATCCCCTCGATCCCGACTGCCTTGCCGCCGCTGCCGACGCCTTAGAAAGTGCTGCTGCCCAGGACAGCCGTCGCACTCGGACCGACCGATCGGACCTTGCACGCTAAGGCCAGCCGCCCGGGCGCCGCCGCACCTCTATTCCCCCTAGAAGGTGCGCTGTCACACCGTCCGACCTGCAACAGTTCGCTCGCACACCTGACACTCAGCGCCATGGCCGCACTCGCCCGTTGGGGCGCGCTTGCGCGACCCCCGACCCCAACGGACCCCCCGCTGCCGCCCCAGGACAGAGACCAAAGTTCCAGTGCAGGAGGTGCCCGTTCATTCGATGGGCAAGGGAACTGAACTTTTGGGGCTGGTACTGCGAGCCCTGCGGGAAGTTCGTGCACGAGAAGGGCCACTTCACCCACAGAGAGCACAGGAACAGGATCGCACAGCAGGAAGACCACGGGATGCCTGACCCCCAGCAATGGACAAGCGGTCAACCCAGCCCTACCATCCCCAGGGCGCAGTCACCCAGGATGGATCAAGGCCTCCCCGCTCCCCGGCCTCTGCGGGATAGACGACGAATGGGATTTCCAAGACGGAGACTGGGATGCCGTCCCCATCTGCTACCCCCCTCCCAACGTACCTGACAACTGGAGCCCCCCCCCCCGGCGGTGGTGCCGACATGGACGCTGTCAGGCATCTCTGGTGGGGAGTGGGCGACAAGGACACCTCCCGAGAGGACGCTATTCAGCATGTGACGTAGACAGCGTTGGCCCGAACAGCACAGACGCCCATCCAACCAGCTCTCCTCGCTGTGGAGGAGGCCTCCAACCGCCCTGGAGAGACGCCAGCACCGGCCAACGACGTCCCAGCTGCGCCTGGCACCGGGCGGGGAGGATCAAAGGGAAGGGGCTTCCCTTCGACCTGATTACGACATTGCTCGATTTTTCTTTCGCTGACAAGCTTGAGGAGGAGTGTGCAGGGAAAGGGGACGACGCAGACGACGACTGACGGAGACGACGACTCGAACAACCAAGCCTTGTGATTTATATTGGCCTGGCGATGTATGCAGGCCATGTGCTTGTGATTTGGGCAGGCCCCTGCTTGTTGTTCGAAGTCTCGTGTCAACGGGCCTGTGCATGCATGCTGACACAAGCCATTGGCGTACACTGGCTTGCGTGCGTCCGCCCATGTCGAGCAGTCCAGGTCATCGACTGGTACCTCCCCCTCCCAGAGTATCCCGGTTTATTGGGGAAGCCAGCAGATACCAATACCGCTACTTCCCGGACCTCTTCTGGGTGCGTTCTAACAAGGATTTCGAGGCGAATCCAGCCTTGGCGACAAGGGCCTCGCAGGAGGTTTAATCAAGGCGGAAAGGAAGGAAGGGTGGCGATATGAGTACCTTTCCCCCCTCTCTTTCTCCTCCTCCTCCTCCTCCTCCTCCTCGTCTTCCCGATTTTGTCGCCGCACGTCGCAAGGGAAGGAAACGAGGGGAGGGTGGCGGTATCTGTGCCTTTTTCTCGTCCCCTTCCCCCTCCTGGCGGGGAGCTGCACCCGGTGGGGCGAAGAGGGCCGCAGGCCGCCCGGCGCGGCGGGCGCCGCTGGAGGCTGTGCGCCGCAGCCTGCTCTTGGTGGGGAGTAGGAGGTTGAGGAGGAGGAGGAGGAGCAGGAGGAGGAGGAGGAGGAGAAAGAGGAGGAGGAGGAGGAGGAGGAGGAGGAGGAGGGGGGGCAGGAGGAGGAAGAGGAGGAGGAGGAGGAGGGGAGGAGGAGGAGGAAGGTGAGGAGGGGAAGCAGTGAAAACTGAAGACTACTCAACGATGTTGGAATACACCCTCCCTCCAAGCCCCCTCTTCATAGGCCCCTACAATAGTTCATATTGCCACTGAGTGCTGTGCCCCATTGGGGGACAACCGTGTGAAACTCCTGAAGCGTGCCGAAATACCATTCTCAGGATTTCAGCATCGCGACTTAACTTGGCTGTTGCGTGTTGGCGACCTTGAACCGTGCCAGGACACAAGCCTGGTACGTTGACACCTAACTGTTACGGCAATCCTGAATCGTTCCAAAATACCGTTTCTGATACGTTAACCAGTCTACCAGTGAAACTCTTGCAACTGCTAGCCACGTTTTGAAAACGACCCGCCCTTACTCCGTGAAACTCTTGCAGCTGTTTGAGACGAATGTGCGCGGCGCTCAGTCGAGGGCCACATTTTGGATACGACCCGCCCCCGATCCGTGAAACGGCTGCATTTATCAACATAACAAATGGCAGTAACCACATTTCGAACACGACCCGACGTCAATCCGCGAAACTCTTGCATTTTTTGAAACGAGTGTGCACGGCGCTAAGGCGAGAGCCACATTTTGGAAGCGATCCGCACTCCATCTGTGAAGCGGTTGCCAACTTTAAGCTTGAGCGTCATAAGCAATAAGCGATAAGGATGTCTCAGGCGAAACGCCCAGCCCGCCTTCCGACGGGCCTTGGGGGCGCGACAGTGAATGGAAGAGGAGGAGAGGGAGGAGGACTTGGAGGAGGAGGCCTGCACCATCCTCCTGGCCTCGCCGACGTTACTGGGGCGGCGACGCGCGATTGTGCATAGACTCGCCCGCCAATGCCGGGGAGAAGCAGGACAAGGAGGAGGAGGAGGAGGAGGAGGAGGAGGAGGAGGAGGAGTAGGAAGAGGAGGGCCAGCGTAAACCCAGGACGCATCAACGATGTTGCAATCAACCCTCCCTCCAGGTTCCCTCTTCGTAAGCCTCTGTAGGAACAGACTTTCACTTCGGGGGTGCCCCATCCCTGTCAAAGGGGACTTGAACGCAAATCAACGAAACTGTTTCGTCCTGTCAATCCTAACTTCACCTAGACAACGTTCCTGGGTCTTCAGCCCTACGAGTTATTCAAACGCGTCCAAATGTTTAAGACGAATTTGCATGGCGCTAGAGCGGCAGTCATATTCTTGAACGGAGCCGATCTCCATGTTTGAAGTTATTTTAATTTTGTCAGAGGTGGCGAGGAAATCTTAGGCGCCCCTCGCCCCCCGCCTGGCTTACCGACACACCGGGGTGTGTGATAGTCAGTCAGGTAAGTCTTGCACCAGCCAGTGCGTGAGCAGAGAGGAGAGCGTGCAGCCATCATGCCTTTAGCAGTGTGGCCAGATCTTTAACTACGCGCTCCCACTCGCGAGCTACACCGCCGTCTTGGCGGAAGTAGTCAGCGAGTCGCGCATGGGAGCCAGCAACTGCCAGCGCATTATTCCACACAAGGTGCCCCCAAGATTGGCGAGGCCTACCTCGCCTCCTCGCCCCGGCAGGCTTGCGCAATTCCCGGTTCAAACAACGTTCGGCGAATCGGATCGTTGCCAGGTCGAACTGTCTTCTAGCGAGGTGATTCCTGAGTTTATCTTGCCCAGCAATGTTGAGCACGGCTGCGTTGGACACCCTACTAAAATACGCATGTGGAATGCGACAGATTCTCCGGAGACAGCAGTTCTGAAAGGCTTCCAGCCGTTTCCGCTCCGCTGTATTGAAGCATGCTGCAAAAAGCGCATACAGACATGTAAACACATCTGTATGTTGCGATGCCTGCTCATTCTAGCATGCGACCAGATCGAATGCAACACCTTAAACTATTGGGTTGCTGCTCCTAGTCTGCGGCTTAGCTCGGATCCGACCCGCCCGTGTTCCGACAATGATGTGCCCAGATAGACGATGGAGCTCTTGCGTGCGATCGGCGCACCAGCATGGTTGTAGATGTCGTCGTCTGCCCTGATTTTCATGAGTTCGAGTTTGCCCCCATTGAAGCTCAGGTCGTAGTGCGACCCGCAAAACTCGACGCAACTCATCAACTCCTGCACCACCGAGTATTCGCTGTCTATCAAGAGAGTGTCGCCCGCATATACCAAGTCACTTACCAAATGCGTTTTTGTCTGCGGGCCGATGCTCTGGTGGAACTCCACATGGGCGTCAGCCAGTAAGGTCGTCATTGCGATGGTGAACAGGAATGGTGACAGAGAGCATCCCTGACATACCCCATAGGATTGAGGTCGCTCGTCCGAGTTGGATCGAAAATCCGCCACGATGAAAGTCCGACTCTCGTAAATAAGTTGACGCCACCTGGACAAAACGGCACGGGCACCCGAATCGTCGCGAAGAGGACGCCGACGCCAATGCAGCAAACCCAGCAACAAGAAATAGACTTTGCCGTCTCGAGGGCTCCATGCGTCCTCAAGGACCCTGCGGGCTAAGAAAACTGCGTCCGTCGTGCCCCGTTTGGATCGGAAGCCGACTCGTGTCTGCCAGGCTCTGTCTTCGGCCCCCGCATATTTCAGCCGCCTTAACAACACAGTTGCAAACATCTTCTATGCAAAGAGCAATAAGCTGATTGGCCTATAGTTCTCACATTCTGCAGGGTCACCTTTTTATAAACCATCCGTATTCGCGGCCTGTGCCAGTCATCAGGCACTTGTACATTCCCCCAGACGGTGTTGCAGAAACGCGTAACCCACGTAAGCGCGGTAGTGACATCCTCCGTGGCTGTCCTCCGAAACTCTAGCGGCAAGTCGTCGAGCCCTCCAGCTGTTCCTGGCTTGAGGGCGCGGGCTGCGCGATGTGCCTCGTCTTCTGTGATAGCGCCACGATTGATGTTCAGTTCGGTCTCGTAGAGGGCGTCCGTCGGCATAGCGCTGGTCGGCCGCACTGCCCAGTGCACCCGCTACAGATGCTCAGCAAGAGTGTCGGGGTGTGTGATAGGGGGAATTGTTTATAAAGAGACGACGATGGCGGAACAGAAGGAGCAGATGGATGGAAGGGGGGCGGAGGAGTGAGGGAATGCTGATGATGATGACGATGCTGATGCTGCTGATGGTGATGATGCTGATGCTGATGATGCTGCTGCTGATGGTAAGGTTGCTGATGATGCTGGTGATGATAATGTTGACACGGGTGATGATGCTGATGGTGATGGTGATGCTAGTGAAAGTGATGGTGTTGATGATGATGTTGTTGCTTTTTTCTGGCGTTGATGATGATAATACGGTTGTTTATGTTGGTGATGATGTTGTTGCTGATGGTGCTGCTGATGATGCTGCTGATTCTGCTGATGATGCTGGTGCTATTGCTTTTGATGGTGGTAATGACGCTGCTGATGCTGGTGATGGTGATGGTGATGGTGATATGGATGGTGATGGTGATGCATATAATGCCAATGGTGATGAAGATGACAATGATGACGATGCTGCTGCTGATGATGATGATTCCGATGCTGATGCTGCTGATGATGATGCTGAGTGATGCTGATGATGATGATGATGATGATGATGATGATGATGGTGCTGATGATGATGATGACGATGGCGATGGCGATGCCGATGACGATGCTGGCGCTGCTGCTGATGATTACGATTAGGATGCTGATGCTGCTGATGGTGATGATGCCGGTGA